CACCCTGTTTGAAGTTTTCTTAGCAAAGATACTGGAGAGGTTTGCCATTTCCTTTCTTCAGCTCATTTTGCGGTTATGGAAATTGAGACAAACAGGGTTAAATGACCTGCCCAGGGTCACACGGCTAGGAAGTGTCTGAGATCAGCTTTGAACTTAGGAAGATGAGTCATCCTGACTCCAAGCCCAGTCCTCTATCCACTGCTCCATCTAGCTAGCCAGGGGCATAGGAGAAGCTTTCATCAATAAAACTTATTAGGAGAAGCATTACACCTATAACTTTACTGCTGCGGTGTACAGCGAACTCTCAAATGAGGAAACTCCCTACCAATACATGTCAGAAACTTGGTAGCCTTAGACAGTCCTAGACTACCAAGGCATGAAGTGACTTGGCCAGCTTCACAGAGCCGATGTAAGTCAGAAGCTGAATTTGCACCCAGGCCTTCTGGCTTCCAAGGCCAGCTTGCTACCTACTAAGCAACACTAACTTTCTTTTTAACGAAAAAAAGGGAAAAAAGGAAAATGACCCTTAAATGTGATTTAGTGACTGACAACAAAACTCACAGGAGAAAAATACTCGGTGTTTTGTCCTGTTTGGTATAGCTGGTGCTGAGGAGAATTATCTTTAAATCAAATACTTCTCCCATTTCTACTACCATGTGATAAATGGGGTTACTTTGCAGGCTTTGCTCCTCTGTTGAAAGTTACGTGAGCTGTGGTCCCTTCTTCTGGGAAGGCTGAAGCTGGTGAAGCCTTGAATTTAGGAGTTGGGAATGGCAAATGGGGCTAAAATTGCTGGGGCCTCAGCTCCAAGCTCGGGACTAATATGAGGAGCCTCAAAGAGCAGAAGGCTGCCACTCTCCCTCCAAGGAGGAGCAAACTGAAGGCTGGGAAAACCGGAGCAGGTTAAAGCTTCTGAGCTAATGAATAGTGACATAGGTCCCAGGGAGTAACTGTTCTTCTGACCTGGGCTAGATAGAAAGATGAAGGAAGAAAGGAAGAAAGAAAGAAAGAAAGAAAGCAAGAAAGCAAGAAAGCAAGAAAGCAAGAAAGAAAGAAAGAAAGAAAGAAAGAAAGAAAGAAAGAAAGAAAAGAAAGAAAGAAAGAAAGGAAGGAAGGAAGGAAGGAAGGAAGGAAGGAAGGAAGGAAGGAAGGAAGGAAGGAAGAAAGAAAGAAAGAAAGAAAGAAAAAAAGGAAGAAAATTTGATGGGCTAGCAAGTAACTGTTTTCTAGGCGTTCTTAGACTTTTAATTGGAATATCAGGATAAGATAATCACTAGAGGGCATAGCTGAGTTATTCTTGGGTATGTTTATACAAAGAGACTTCTCTGATTTTATGTCTGAAATCAATTCAGCTGAAAAATTATTTTATGTTTGCAACAATGTACTCTGTATATTCATTCCCAAGAAGTTCAAATGTTTTATTTCTGTAGATGATATTGAGACCAGCATCTCTCAGCACTCAGACAACTTTATCATTTGGGGTTTTAAATGTTATCTAAACTTTCCAGTTTCCCACACCACATAAATTAAGGCACCATATAAGGCTTGACAACTTCTTTAAGGAAAGAAAATGTGGTGTGTCTTGTCTACTTTGGAACTCCATTCATATTTAGACCACATCTCAGTCTGGGGAACTGTACTTTTGTTTCTCATGACAGGCATCAGTCATCAGCACAGAGATTTCCTTCCTGATATCTTTTACCTTTTCTCCCCCCTTCAGATTATTTTTTTTTTGGCATCAACCTTAAAGAATTGTCTCTTTTCTTTGATGGGCTGTCCCCTGTCACCCATGAAGCTGTAAAGTACTATCTGCTCTTGTTTGAGAAATGATGACTCTTGAGATTTTCTCACGTAGATATTCTGTTCTCTTTTCTCTTCTGTATTAATGACCTTGAATGGATTTAAGTGTCATTGGGTGAAGGGGAAGGAACAGATGTCTGTCAGCCAATCAACAGTCATAAATGTACTTACTGCATGTCTTTTAAAAGGTTTGGAAAATGTGTGTCCAAAGTTCTACCCAGGAGCAGTTGTCACTGGCAATTAAAGTCCCTGACATCAGGACTTTGTCCATCCCAATCAATACATCACTTAATATCTATTGAACACCTAATCTGCAAAGCCCTGTGCTAGGCACTGCAGGAGACACCAAGCTAAAGAAGGCACGCTGCCAGCTTGAAATCGTTCTAAGCTAGTGGGAAAGGTGGGCCAGAGGTTGGGCTGGGGAAGGGAACAGGCATTTTTAAAGTACCAGTTATGTGCAAGACACTTTATAGATATCATCTCATTTGATATATTACTATGAAAAGCTATCACATGAGGAAGGAACTTGATATTTTGGGTAAAAAGATCCGGGTCTGAATTCTGGTTCTGCTGGTTACTATTTGTGATCCCTTGGGCAAGGCACTGAGTCTTTCTGGGCCTCAGTTTCCACATCTGCAAAATTAGGAAGTGGGACAAGTTGCATTTTCAGGTCAATTTCCTGCTCTAAATCTATGACCAAATGATACTCTGAACTCTCTTGTTCTATTCTTTCCTCCTCTATTGCAGCCAGATGCTTCCACTCAATTATGCTTGTAAACCTCAGGCTAACGAAGATTAAAGATTGACTCCTACCTTCCTGGAGAGCACAGACAAATTCCTGATCTTTTAAGCCCAGGGAACATAGAATCAGACAGTTGGAGCTTGAATAACAAAAGCAGAAGCACCACAATCCCATAGATTGTAAACGATGAGGTTTATAAATCCTTTGCTCAGAAAAATCCAGTGAGGCAGGCATTACAAGTCTTACCTCCATCTTACGGAGGAAAACACTGAGGTACAGTGTGATCTGCTCACGATCACATAGCTCATGAGTGTCACAGCTGAGATTCGAACCTAGGTCGCCTATCCCTGACTCACTCACTCTTTACATTATACCTTGAGGGTCACGTAATCCAATTCCCTAATTCTACAAATGATAAAATTAAGGTCCTGATTAATTATGTGACTTGCTCAAGGTCACACAGCTAGTAAATGGCATACTAGCTTTACTTAAGCCCAAATCTCAACTATCATTTTCTGACTCCAAACCCAGATATCTTTTCACTATACTCCCTAAAGTTGTTGGAGTTGAGAAAATTAAGGAGGATTAAGAGATCAGATTCTTAGAAAGGTAATTGATGTGATTAATCAAGTCCCTGTGATGGATAACAATAAAAAAAGACATTATGAGACATGAGACAGGTCCCAAAAACCATTAATAAATCTTTCTCTTTCTCTGTTTCTCTCAGTCTGTGTGTGTGTGTGTGTGTGTGTGTGTGTGTGTCTGATTCTCTCCGTAAAAGTTGTGACCCAGCAATTAGACCAGAAGGTGACAGCAACAAAGATAGAGAAAGGGTAGGATCCATGAATTGCATGAATCTCAAAAAAAATCAAAGATCACCAAAGGATGATGGTAGCAAGCAAAATGGTGGCCTCTGAGAATGTCTGGGCAGCAGGTTTAAGGAAAACAGGAAAACATAAGACAATGCATGTGGATGTCCTATTAATTGAAGAGTTTAAGGGGTTTGGAGAGGGTTGGGGTTTTTTTGACAATAGAGTAGAAGTCTCAGAACGCACAATGAAATGGGACAGGAGGTAGGGACAGGAATCCTGGGTAATAAACATTTCTTAAGCACCTACTGTGTGCCGAGGTGGCAGCAAGATGGTTCAGCACATAGAGCATTGGGCCTAAAGTCAGGAAGACCTGAGTTCAAACCTGATCTCACACATTTTCTAGCTGTGTGATCATGAGCAAGTCACTTAATTCTGTTTGCCTAAATACACTGGAGAAGGAAATGGCATGCCACTTCTGGCAAGAAAACCCCAGAAATGGTATGGCCCAAGGAGTCATAAAGAGTCAGACTCATATGACCATATTACTGAACAACAATATGCCAAACAAAATGGGTGCCAGTTGATTAGAGATTTGCAGGGGAAAAAACAAACTATGGCATAAGGATGTATTATTGAGTGAAAAGAAATGATGAATGTGAGGAACTCAGAGAAACAGAGGATAAAGAAAGCAGAATCTGGAACAATAATCCACACAAAGACATCAATAATGCAAATAAAAACAGCGCTAAGAAGCAGCTCAACTCAGATTAAATGCAATAAAAGATATTTGCTCCAGAAAATAGATAATAAAGGGCAGCTAGGTGGTGCAGTGGATACAGTGCGGACCTGGAGTCAGGAAGGCCTGAAGTCAAATCTAGCTTCAGACACTAACTAGTTATGTGACCCTGGGCAAGTTATTTAATCCTGTTTGCCTCAGTTTCCTCATCCATAAAATAAATTGGAGAAGGAAATAGCAAACCACTCCAGAATCTGCCAAGAAACCCCAAATGGGATCAGAAAAGTCAGACATGACTGAACAACAACAAAACGGATGAAGAACCACACCATCTCTTCTTAGCAGAAAGAAGGTAGACCAGCAGGTCTGAATGTTGCATACATACACACATGCATGCATGCATGCATATATACATACATGTGTATATGTGTATATGTATGTACGCCATTAGACATGGTGACTTTAAGGTTGGCTTGGCCTTCTTAATATCAAGGGAGTGCTCTGCCCAGCATTCTCTGGGTAAATGAGTGGCATAAAGGGCAAAAGTCATCCATAACCCTTTTTTTTAATGGAAGAGAGTATTTGGGGGGAGGTAATATAGGCATGCCACTTATACATAAGGTAGAGAAACTGGATGATCAAGATTGAGGAGCTAGTGAAATAGGAGGCAGCCTCCCATGATGGGCTTGGCAGGCAGAAATTCATCAGCAAAGAATCTGGATAATTCATCTGGCCCAGAATTCAGAATAGAATCTGGAATATTGGCATTTAGACATGTCACTTCCTTCTTCTTCCTGGAAAGAGGGGGATTTCTGGTCTTAAGTAAGAATGGGAAAGCTGGGATCGATGTGTGTAGGCAGTACTAAGATATCATTTGACCACTTCTTTGATCATTTCTTCTTTTGCCCAGTTCCAGGGCACTCTGTGTGAAGAATGAGTACGGACCTCAGTCTGACATACACCATCACAATGAAGAAGCGCTGAGAAGCACAAGGGCAAACATCATGGGTGCCATATATGTCCTAACCTCAACTAGTTTCTCCCCTGAGCCCTCTTAACACATACTCTGTGTGCCACCATGCCCTCTCACAATGTCAAGAATAAGCATTAGGATTTTCCACATACATCAGTCCCCTTCCTATCATCTGGTACCCTCAGATAAACATTCTCCATTTCCAACCATTTCAACTGTTTCCTCCCTCTGCACCCCTATGACATTTGCATGTTGAAAAACATTATATTAGTCACACAAAAGGAAAAGCAAGTGATATATAGAGATTCTATGTTCCTTTACAAGAAAAAAAATTCCAAGAGAAATCCTGTCCCCTCCCCCAGAAATAACAAACAGTATTGAGTACTTAAGGAAGTCCTGTCTACCTCTGACTTGTGCAGCAGCCTTGCTGTTCATATGATCCTGACCTAGTGAATTGAATCCCACATTTTGTCAAGGAAATTAAGACTCAGAAAGTTGAAGTAACTTTCTCAAAGTGGCAGAACTGGAATGAGAACGCAGTTCTTGTGACCCCTGATCTTCTAGGTATGTGCCCAGAATTCAAGAGCCCAATTTCATGGAGAGAGTTCCAAGCTTCAAGAAGCAATGATACAACTTGGGCCTAAGGTCACCTGTCTGTCATGGAAGGGAAAATTGGACCTCATCAGATAGAGTTGTCAGTTTCATAAATATTCAGAGACGCTACTCTACACATAGCAGACTTGGTCTAAAGGACCTTGCCAACCGGTCGGGATAAAAAATAATATTAATCAATTAATAGTAATACTAACGGACGTTTTACCTTATATGATATTATATAAAATAATAAAAAGTGAGGTATAATATATTATGCATTGTATAACATAACTTGATATAACATCAAATGCAATATCATTTGCCTAATGTTCTATAAGTGATATTATTTTATATTACACTTGATAAGAGCAATATGGCACAGTGGCTAGAAAACTGCCCTCACAACCCTGGGTTTGAGTGGATCTCAGCCATGTGCAACTTGGTCAGTGCTCTGGGCAATTCTCAAAGATTATACGTTGCAGAGAAGGTGTCACCCTCTATCGGTAGAGGAAGTTTCCTCACCTGCATCAGTGAAATCACAGGTCTGTTCCCTATCCCTTTAATGTTCACAAAGTGCTTACTTCACAACAACCCTGTAAGATAGCAATTCCAAGTATCATTACATCTATTTTACAGGTTAGGAAACTGAAACTTGGGTGAAGTGAATTACCTCTAATAATTAAAGGGCTAGCAAACTGTAATAATGTAGGACTCAAATTCAGGTGTCCGTTGGGAGTACGTCTGCCAAGATTCACCCAGGGACTATATGACACTCTCTGCAGAAATAGATAGGCCTAAATAATTAGAAAAAAATAATTGCTCAAGAGTAGATAAAGCCAATATAATGAAAATGACAGTACTAGATAAATTATTCAGTGATACTCCAAACTCCCACAGGAATATTTTATGGAACTAGAAAATAATAACTAAATTTGCACAGAGGAACAAAAGGTCAAGAATCTCAAAGCTAATAATGAAAAAAAGTAGAAAGAAAGGGGTTCTATCAGTATCAAATCTCAAACTGTACTACAAAGGAGTAATCATTAAAATAACTGGTTGGTTGGTACTGAGGGTGTGGGGTGGAGGGGAAAGAGGAGAGAGAGAGTGAGAGTGAGAGAGAGAGAGAGAGAAGTACACAACATTCAAAACACATTCAAATTCAGTAGCATAATGTTCAATAAACTTTAAGACCCCAGAAACTAACTAAGGAATAGACTTAGATTGATTTAGAAAGACTTCTGGAAAAACTGAACAGTAGTTTGGCAGAAATTAGGTTTAGAACAACATTTCACACCATGCACCAAACTCCAGATAAATACATAGCCTAGACATAATAGATCATATCACAAACAAAGTAAAAAGCAAGGAACTTTTCAGATCTAGGACACAGGAGATGAGAAGAGCTCACAATTAACTGAGCACTAGAAAAAAAGCCACACAAGATAAAATGAATAATTTTGATTATATAAAGTTTCAAAGGTTTTGCACAAACAAATCTAATACAGCAAAAAAAATAGATGGAAAAGGTTACTTGGAGAAAAAATCTTTGCTACAAATTTCTCTGATAAAGATTTTATATTCAAGATGCATAAAGAAACTATTCAAGTTTATGAAACTAAGAGCCATTTTCCCAATAGATAAAGGGTCAAAGATTATGAACAGATAGTTTTCAAAGGAAAAATGCAAGCTCTTCGTAACCATATGAAAATGATATAAACCATTATCGTTCTTTGTCTTTCATTTTCAAAAAGGATCAATGACATCAAAGGATGAGGCAGAGCTGCACAAAGTTATTGGCCTCACTCTCTCTTCCAGTCATCAAAGTTCAGCGGTAAAACAAAAGTCAAGATGGCTAGTGATGGCCCAGGATCCACTGGATGATTTTGACATCTTCAATGTCTCACCAAGCTCTAAGCATTCCACACTGCCTGCTTCAGCTGCCTTCACAGCCATTAGAATAAAATTATTCTCATCTACCCATTCTGTTGAGGGGAAGTCTTCACATGTTTGGGGTTGACATGCCCCTAACTCACTGATGGTTTAAACCTCAACCTAGTTTAGCCTAGACTGCCAAGATGATTTTACCAGGGTGTGCCTACTGAGCATGCCACAGTTTCTTAGAGCCACAGGTGAGAGGTGGGTGCCAGGACAACACCCAAGGTGGCTGGGCAGCCCTGAAAAGGACTCAACAAGTCCTCCCACCAGAGGTCCTCCCTGAATATCATCACTAATTAAAGAGATGCAAATTAAAACAACTTTGAGGTTCCTCCTTACACTTACCTATCAGACTAGCAAACATGACAAAAGAGGAAAATGACAAATACTGGGGGAGCTGAAAGTTGCACTAGTGAATCTTTGGTGGGGTTGGGGAACTGGTCTAGTCATCCTGGAAAACAATTTGAAACCACATGCAGAAAGTGACTGAAACGTGTGCACCCATTGACCCAGCCATATCACTTCTGGGCCTATACATCCCCAGAAATCAGTGAAAGAGGAAGTGACCTGTATGTCCCAAAATATTTAGAGCATCTCTTTTCATGATACCTAAAAACTGGAAACCAAGGTGGTCTTCCTAATGGGGGATGGCTAAACACAACTGTAGCATATGGATGTGATAGAATATTCTTGTACCTTAAGAAATGATGAAATGGACTGTTTCAGAGGAAACTGGAAAAGCCTCCATGAACTGATATACAGCAAGATGAATACAACTAGCACAATTTATACAATGATAATATGATAGAGAAAAACAACTTTGAAAGATGTTAGAAGTCTTTCAACGCAATGACAAACCATGAGCACAAAAGACAGAAGACGAAGCAGGTCGCTCACCTCCTGGCAGAGAAGGAGGGGATGAAGTTTGCTTTGCTGCACTATGAAGCTACGCATTGCAAACTTTATGTTTTTTTAAATTTTCTTGAGGATGGGGGGAGGGGTGGGTGGTAGGAAGAACAGATTAAGAAAATAAAAAGGATATATGTGTGTGTGTATTTATGATACACCACATTTATTTCAATATAATCCCTTGTATACCGTTTAAATGAAAACTTCAGGCACCAGCCACACTTGTAATGAGGAATGGAAAAATACAGTACATCACCTGGCTACTAAAAGAAAAAAGAATATTTCAGTGGGCTGCCTTAATGAGGTGGGACTGTCACTGATACTACTATTTTGGGCAATGAATGAGGCGTGTTTATTGGGAAGGAAAGTGGGTTAAGTACATAGGATTCAAAGGGGACAACATTTTTTTAAGCACTGTATAGTCTTTGTAATACAATTTTTTTTTAAAAGTTCAGGTGTCCAGACTTTAAACATTCCTCTGTAGCACACTTCCTCTTGCTGCCTCAACAAAATAAAAAGTTAACAGCAATACAAGGATTAAACACTAAAGTAAGAAAAGGGAGGTCTAAAAATCAGCAGGTGCTAGCATTTCAAATGAGGACTTCAAAGCTGAAAGGCTCTTGGTTCAGAAGGAGAGGCCATCATGTACTACAGTGGCCAAGAAGATCCACAGAGGCTATGGGAGTGGTAGAAAGATGTCGGGGACAGTACCATACAGGCAAAGGGAGATGAACTTGGAGTCCCAGGGTCAGAATTAAAATCCCAACTGTGCCATTTAGTATCTATGTGACCATGAAAAAGTCATGTCAACTCTTTGAAGTCTCAGTTTCCTTACTTGTAAAAAGAGGGGGTTGGACAATGTCCCTTCTAAACCCAGAGCTTCGAGCAGATAGGTGGCACAGTGGATAGACCACTAGGCATAGAATCAGAGGACTTCTCTTCCTGAGTTCAAATCCTGTCTCAGACATTTACCAACTGTGTTACCCTAGGAAAATCACTTAACCCTGTTTGCTTCAGTTTCCTCATCTGTAAAATGAGCTGGAGAAGGAAATGGCAAACCACTCTAGCATGCCTGAGAAGAAAACCCCAAATGGGGTCACAAAGAATTGTATATGACTGAAAAAGACAAGCCCAGAACTATGATCTTATGAACAGTACCTGGATGGATCCACCCATAAGCTCATTGATGTGAGCCTTCCCTTCAACAGTTCCTATCATAAAGCCTCCATGCTTCCCTTCCTATGTCACTCCTGTCCATGCCCTTCTATGTATTCTCTGTAGGTGGCTCACACAGCATCCTGGAGACCTAACTTTCAATCCTTTGCTGGGACTATAGTCAAGAAGACTTGAATTCAAGTCTAGCCTCAGACACTTATTAGCCACACCACTTTAAGTAAATCACTTAACCTCTGGCTCAGTTTCCTCATCTATACAATGAGGATATAATAGCATCTACCTTGCAGGGTTGTTGTGGGGTTCGAAATCAAAAAGATACAGTAATTGTAAAGCACTTAGCACAGTGCCTGGAACACAGTAAGCACCATATAAATGTTGTTGTTGTTAGTATTATACAGCATCAGTGAGAAAGTATACCTAGGCCATTGGTCCTTTCTTCCCCTTTCTTCCCATATGGCCAACCTTATCTAGTCGTTCATCTTATAGATTATATCTTTAGCTCTATCTTACAATGTTTTGCAGTGTTTTTGTGTCTTTTGTATTTATCTTTCCATGGCCCTTTGGGTGACCTGCAGTTTTTATCCCTCAGAGAATGTGATGTTCCATGATCCATAGCCAACTAGCATCACTGGAAGAAAAGTAGGGCTAAAAGGGAGACGCATTGTTCCAGAGAGGTCTTGGGGTCATTGAAAGTATTGTACAATTCCTCAAATGTAACATAGCCTGCTTTCTTTCTTCTATTCAATTCTGGGGTCAATCCATTTCTCTCTGTAGTATCTCTCCAAGATACTTGTACTACAAGACCAACTCTATGGGCTGACCAGCTAAATGGAGATCAGATTCAGGACTCTTCCTCCATCTAATATTTCCTATGTGGATAATTCAAAGGGTTTAGGATCTCATATAGAAGGCTCTGTAGCATTCCGGGGGCTGATGCAATCAGCATGATGTCATTCATAAACAGTAATATCTGAGAACCTCTCCATTGATAAAGAATTTGTTTTTTAAGATCGGAAGCCAAATGTGGGCCCTCCACAATGGTGCAAACATATTCAGGGAGAACAGATTGTTATGATATAGGTTTTTGCTTGATATTCATAATCACAGGGTCACCAAAATCTTCTCCATTGTTCCACAGGTCAAGGGAGCTCACAGAATTATAGAAAAGGCATGGGGTTCACTTTGTTACA